TCCCCATCCCTGGAGGTTCTCAAGATGTGACACTCTGTGCCATGGTTTGGTGCCCACAGTAGGGTTGGACTCGTTGATCTTTGAGGTCTCTTCCAACCCGGTCGCTTCTCCGATTCCATGATCAGAGCACACAGAGAGGATGACAGGATGCTGTGGGTTGGATCCAACCCCACCATTCCTGTCCTGCTGGAACTCCTTTCTCCCCTTCCTTTTCCCCACAGGACTTCAAAGAGCAAATCATCCACCACGTGGCCACCATCATCCTCATCAGCTTCTCCTGGTTCGCCAACTACATCCGCGCTGGGACGCTCATCATGGCCCTGCACGACTCCTCGGATTATCTGCTGGAGGTATTTCCTTCCTGTGCCCCCAGAGCTTCACCCCATGTCCTGTGTCCCCTCCTGTCTCACCCCTCTCTGTCCCCCCAGTCTGCCAAGATGTTTAACTACGCTGGCTGGAGAAACACCTGCAACAACATCTTCATCGTCTTCGCTGCTGTTTTCATCATCACCCGTTTGGTCATCTTACCCTTCTGGTGAGCTCCAGTGGGGAATGAGTGGAGAAACTGAGGCACAGGGTGGGGGAAGATTTATGGAAAGGTAAAATCTGGTTTTTGGCCTTCATGGGAATGTTTTTTTTTTTCCTGCTAGGATCATGCACTGCACGGTGTTTTATCCGTTGGATCTCTACCCTGCTTTTTTTGGCTACTACTTCTTCAATTTCATGATGGTGGTGCTGCAGTCGCTGCACATCTTCTGGGCCTACCTCATCATCCGTATGGCCCAGAAGTTCATAACTGGAAAGGTGAGAGGAGATGTGGGAATGTTGGCATGGAGTCAAGGGAATGGAGGAAGTGCATGGAATTGGCAGAGGAGATTCCCAAGTGTCTCATCTTCCCAGATCTTGGAGAACCCAACAACCATATCATGGTGGTGGGGAAGAAATGGAGGCCTGGCAGGAAAAATGAAGCTCCTGACTTGCTCCCACTTTTTTTTTTTTGGTCTCCTTCTTCCCACAGGTGGTGGAGGACGAGAGAAGCGACCGGGAAGAGACAGATAACTCGGAAGAGGAGGAGGAGGCAGCGATGGCGGCGAAGAATGGTCCTCTCTCCAATGGTCATCCCATCCTCAACAACAACCACCGCAAAACCGACTGAGGGCTCAGCCTGGGAGGAGATGGCACCTCCCAGTGCCTCCAGGCCCTGTCCCCTCCAGTCTCTCCCAGTCTGGGATCCGGGAGCGGCTCCCCCCCGTCCTTCCTGCCTCTCACCCGCTGCCTTAATCCACTGGGGTTCCCTGGGCAGGAATCCTGCTGGGATGGCTCCTATCCCATTGGAATGGCTCCTATCCCTTTGGAATGGCTCCTATCCCTTTGGGAGGGATGGCTCCTATCCCTTGGGATGCCTCCTATCCCATTGGGAGGAATGCCTCCTGTCCCATGGGAATAACTCCTTCCCACCCCTGGGATCAGCTCTTGGCCACTCTGGGGCTCCAGCTGCTCTGGATCCTGCTGGATGGCTCCTGTCCCATGGGAATGGCTCCTATCCCATTGGAATGGCTCCTGTCCCATTGGAATTGCTCCTATCCCTTTGGAATGGCTCCTATCCCCTTTGGAGGAATGGCTCCCCTTCCCATCGGATTGTTC